GGGTAATATTTGACTTCCCAAGAGTTGACATAACCAGGAAAAATCTATTTTATACAGTTATGTGTTAATTAATTATTTATGTTTGTAAAAACAAATAAATAAATATATATGTATGCATGTATGTAGATCTAAATCTTGAAATTTTTTTTGTAACGCATATGTGGCCTTGTTGAGATCCTATGATTTGTGACAAAGTTAATTGTGACACATGTAAAGAATTTGATTGTGATGGTCATATGTGGAGAAAAAAATGAATATGAAAGATTGCTTGTCATGTGAGATATTAATATTAATTTATGCTTTCATGGGATCATGTGACATGATTTGAGTAATGAAATTGAGGGTTGATGATGATATGCATACTCTTAATTATAAATTAAAGATTATACATGGTGATGAATTGTATATGAACATATTGAGTTTTTAAATAATACTAATATGATTTATATGGTGATATGAAAATTGATACATGAGATAAGATTGAGATATGATGATTTCTTATGCTTGTTGAGCAAGAAAATTAATGAATATGCGGGATAATTGTGAATTACATATATGAAAGTTATTAAAATGCATTTTCTTATAAGTATGATCATATAGTAGGAGTTCGTCATAGTGAAGGAGCTGACAGTTGTGCAAAATCCATATAATACTTGGTTATTAACTGTTAATCCTAGGGGTTATAGCTACTACATATCTTGTAAGGTACTGTAGCATTGTTCCTATTAAGAGACTTAATACTACTGGCTTACTTAGAGTTTTGGGTAGAACTAGTCTTGAATATAACACCCCGTAATGTGTGATTTGGGAAATATCGTGTTCATAAATAATAAGGTAACCTTGGTCCGATAGCCTCTCACGATATGATTAAGACCTTAGGTAGTCTTATCACATGAATGATCACTTTCGATTATTGGCCCACATATTTTATGTCAAAGGAAATAAGGAAAGATATAAGGAAGAGATTGATCATGCATTTTATTATTATATAATTTGAGTGATTGATGCTGTATTTGAGACTATAATTGTAATTGTAAAAATGAGAACATGTGGTAAATATGTGAAAAATGTATATGTAGGCACTTGTGCCAATTTTGTAAGAGTATTTAGTACTTCTAGGCTATCGTGTCAATTTTATACTTGACTTTATTCTTAAGATTATTCACATGAGCTAGATATTAATGTGATTAATATGATTTTGATGTGATTGTTTACATGGTTATCTTGATGAAATTATTAGCCACTTAATTCATGATTAATTGTCATACATTTATATAACTTAAATATACCTTAGTCACTGAGTGATTGTATTCATTCTTCTGTTTTAACATGTTACAAGAGCTAGCTTATATAGGAAGAACAAAGAAAAGGAGTATCAGGCTAAGTGATAATAATCACTTCTTTAAACCTTTCTCTTTTTATTTCAACATGTGTATTCAGTCTATGATATTGTCAACTAAGATAATATATTCTTGATTGACTTGCATTATAGGTTTCGTGTTGGGTGGGAGTGTATTTTGGGCCCTTGAGAATGTGGTTTGGTACTTATGTTTATATTAGTGGGCCAAAATACTTGTGCACTACAAGGGCGAAGCCAAAAAATTTTATTAAGGGGGCCGAGATGACAAGGTATACATAAAAATTAAAAGAAAGTTATATATATATATATATAACCAACATAATATAAATATTTTAACGTATATATTTGTATTCAATTTTACACATATATAACTATATATATATATATATATATATTAAGTTTTACTCATAGATTTTCTGTAAAATAAAAATTATTAATTATTATGTCTAAAATAAATGTTTTAGCAATTTCCTTCTCAATATAAACTATCATTAAATTAGTGAAAATTTTATCATCCTATGAGCATTAAATGATTTAAATAAATCATTGGATTTTAAATTTATGTTCAATATAATAAACTCTATTACTTGCTTATTGAATTTACTACTTAATTCTTTCAATTGATAATCGTAATAAATAAATATATCAATACATTAATAATGCTCAATTGTCATGAAATCTTTATATCAATGAGATGTAATTATATCAAAGTAAAAGCCATTCATATTATAAATTTTAATAGCTTGATTATTCAAAAAAGTATTTTTTTTCTAGAAAAACATCTTCACCAAACCTCTTAACTTTTAAATAAACAACTTTATAATAAATATCAAGCACATAGCATTCAATATATATTGAGATTTGTGTTGCAATGCTTAGCAAAGTTATTTAATAATAATTTTCATAATTTCTTTCATTAAATATGAAATGAAAGCAAAATAAAATGACACCAATATTTTAAGAGCATGTATAACATTATATTGTTAAAAATAAGTAAATTTTATGACAATCATATTTTTAAGCTACTGAAATGGTTGCTTTATACATTTGTAAAAGACTATATATAAAATTGAATAAAAATTCCATCTATAGTGTATCATAACTTCTATAATGTGCTAACTTATGGGAGCTAAAAATATATAATTCTTACGTTTTACTAAGAAAAAATTTAAAAGTTAGGAGAGGCTGTAACCCCAGCCAGTCTGGCAGTCCCCCCTCTCTCCACCCTTTGTAAGTGAAAATAGTTATTATTTTCATGATTTGAGAATTTAAATATTATTATGGTCTCCCTTTGTGTTTTTGTTGTTCAAAGGTAGGTAGTTGATTTTAACTATATATGAATGAAAAAAGGAAATTTATGCATGTAATGAGCTATTGATAAATAAATGATATATAAAGTGTGATGAGTAGGTGATAATCATTGTAATAAATATGATTGAGATCTTAGCCTCCTGCTGCCAATTACGGAAGCATTTGAATGGCCAAATGTTATACTAGCAAATATATGAATACTATGTGGAGAAGGGCATAGAGAGAAAATAAGGAAAAAGTTTTTCTCCCACTTTGAATTGTGTTTCTTAGTATTTAATCAATCTCATGCTTCCGCACAGATTTAATTGAATGATATGAGTTCTTAAAATATTTTAAAGATTTGGAATCATTTTGTTTTAAATAGTTTGTGAAAATACATGTCAATGAATTGTTTAAATTAATCTCTTGTATGATAATTATTTTCGATTAGTCCTTGATTATCCAGGGTTGGTGTGATGATTAAAGTCCTAATTTAGAGAACCCTTTACATGGTTAGGCTTTTACTCTTACTCATTTTTCTTCTCTTTCCTTTCTTAGCCTTGATAGTAGTTGAGTTATCTAAGAAAAAGTTAAGGATATGTTCTCTATAATAATTAGCCAAACTTAAGAAGTCTCTTATTCTAAAATCATCATAAGTCATTGTCTTTTTAGAGAATTGTCATATACTCCATGGCACAGTGACTTTCTACTAGATCTAATGCATCCATGAAATTTAACTGCAATCTCACTAAGCCCTTTTTGGATCTACTAAAATCCTTAGAATCTAATTGCAATTCTTTTCTATGAAACTTGAGATGTAAGGATAAATTTATCAAATAACGTTACTTCTGTTTAATTTAATAATTTTACTAATTATTCTTCAAGATAATCGTAAATATCTCTATCCTCTAAGGCTTTATTCATTTCTTTTAGCCTATTCTAAACTCTTCTAAACTTTAATTGCTCATTTTTTTTAATTTCACATTTTCTTAAAATCTCTAAAAATATTACACTTTTGTCTAAAAGGACTTTAAAATTATAATTTAATCCTTAAACACAATTTTATATTTTCAAGACACCTCAAGACTTTAGATTATTTGAGTTTAATAGTTTATTAAATTTTTATATATTTTTGAGTTTTTAGATTCAAAATTCAAGATGTTACGTGCAGTGGTCTCACAAGCTATTAGTAGGCGTGTTCAATGTCAATTAGGCATCCTCCCCGGGGACCTTGGGCTGTTAAAGCAATCCGACGATAATAAACTGCCAACGGGAAAACTCCAGAAAAAAGTAAAGATGAAGACCGTCAAATTAAGTAATTGCTGCTAACCTTGACATTAATAATTACTTTTAAAATTAAATACCCAATTAATGCTGCTTGTTTCACTTCCCTATTTTTTTTCTGCAGATCCCCATAAACAGCGAAAGCTGCGGTGGTCATACAGACAACGTGGAACCATTGAGGCCCTCCAAATTTTTTTAATTATTATTACTGAGTATAAAAATTAATTATTTATTGCTATACTACATCCATTGACAATTTCGTTAAATGATAATAGTAGTTAAAGAATTGAATATTTCCTTGCAATGCACGGTTCAGGAAGTAGTATTTTTAGTTTGACTAGAGCTGATTCTTTTTAATCAATCAATTAATTATAGATAAATGAACTAATTACTTTTTAAATTTGACAATCAGTAGTATCGTAAATCTTGTGTAAATTGTTATATTTTTTTTTAAAATGGTGTAATTTGGTCTTTCCTACAATTTTTTATGTCATTTTCTGTTATTTTCTTATTAACTAGTAGTTAAAGTTAACTTTTGTTAACTATAAAAATTATAATACACTGTTTTTAAAAGTTAAAAAAATAATTTATACAATAAATATGTTCAGAATTTATGATATTATAGAATCTAAAATTTATAAAATAATTTGCTCATTTACCAAATTATACTGAGGAGCGCTTCATTCAATCAATCTATTAAATCGTGTCTATAAATTTTGCTAGAAAGTATATATATTAATGAAGACAGAATTAAAATTCATTAATTTTTAAAATAGAGTTAATAAATTTTAAAATTTTTTTTAATTCTGATAAGATATGTTGAAACTTGAAAATCACTTATGAATAGAATATCTGCCGGAAAAAAAGACTTATGAATAGAATCCTAGGAAATTATGTGATGTATCAGTGAGGAGTTAGGAGTCACTGTAAACTTTCAAATAAAAGTAGGTACATCGTACATCTTTGAAAAAAAGAAATTTAAATAATGTAAATTTAATGATTTAAATTGAATTTCACAATTGAAAACAGGAGCAGCAAAAGGGGAAAAAAATCCAAGCTTAAATATTCCATACGCCACGCACGAATTCATTCGGTATTCTTCTTGTCATTCACCTTAACGTTATTAATAGATCGATAGGGTATTTGGTGGGAAAAAATGGGTTCTGAATCTAAAGCAGCTCCGATGCACGCCCTTTTGGTCTCATTTCCCGGCCAAGGCCACATCAATCCTCTTCTCCGACTCGGAAAACGCTTAGCCTCAAAGGGTCTATTCGTCACCTTTACTACCCCAGAAAACGCTGGCAAAGACCTTCGTAACGCAAACCGCATCGTCACCGACAAAGCCATCCCCGTCGGCGACGGCTTCCTCAGGTTCGAGTTCTTCGAAGATGGCTGGGACAAAGACGACCCCAGAAGGAAAAATCTCAGGGAGTACTTGGTTCAGCTAGAGCTTGTTGGCAAGCAAGTCATATCGCAGATGATTCACAAGTATAACGATTCTCGTGAGCCTGTTTCTTGCATTATCAATAATGCTTTCGTACCTTGGGTCTGTGATGTTGATTCTGAATTTGGCTTACCTTCTGCTGTTCTCTGGGTTCAATCTTGTGCTGTTTTCTCTGCTTATTACCATTACTTTCACAAACTCGTACATTTTCCTTCAGATTTGGATCCTCACATCGACGTTCACTTGCCTTCTTTACCTGTCCTTAAATACGACGAAATCCCCAGCTTTCTGCATTTTGATAGCCCCTATCGTTTTATCGGGGAGCTCATATTAGGACAGTTCAAGAACTTCAATGTACCGTTTTGTGTGTTGATGGACACTTTTGTGGAGTTAGAGAAGGACTATATAAACTACATGTCGAAGTTCTGTGTCATTAGATCTGTCGGGCCTCTGTTCAAGAACCCCAAACCAGCAGATTCAGGAACAGTGAGTGATGATATTCGTGGGGATTTGGTGGTGAAAGCCGACGATTGTATAGAGTGGCTAAACTCGAAGCCTTCAGGGTCGGTGGTTTATGTTTCGTTTGGAAGCATCGTGTATTTGCCTCAAGAACAAGTAGACGAGATTGCATATGGGCTTTTGGATTCTCAAGTCTCGTTTCTGTGGGTTCGGAAACCACCGGAAAAAACTCAGAGCCTTCAATCTCACGTTCTTCCCGATGGCTTTCTGGAGAAAACTAAGTAAGATTTCTTTAATTTCTTGTTTCAGGTTTTTTTTTTTCAATGGTTCGAAACAATTTTATTTCAGACACGGTCCTAGAATGCAAAGTTCGTCACGTTTGGAGGAAATAATTTTTCACTAAACTCAATATCAAAAATTTAAAATAGATGGTCACAAAGCCTATTAGGGCGGTTTATTATTTCTACTTTGAGTTTTGAATTTAAATTATTATTTTAAAAAAATTTACTTGTTTTACATTCGATTTAGTTAAAAGAAAAACCCAAAAGTTTAAAAATAATAAAATAAAAAAAGTTGACGTCAATTAGCTAATAATAAAAAGAAAAACCCAAATGCAACCTGTCACAACACACATGCAAAGGATTCGAATTGTTTGGGGAAACAGAGAAAATCTAGTTACTATTGGTTAATAAGGTCCTTTTGATATAATTTAGGGGCTAATAATTTTCTAATTAATTCGGCTAAGTTTCCTTAAACGCACTTAAGCCATTGCCTTTTTTGACCATAAATTAAAAAAAAAAAGACAATTGTCTTGCACCAAAAGTATAGATAGAAATTTATTAATTATGATGAGAGAAATGCAATTATAATATATATACTACTATAAATTAATATGATAATAGGATGGATCATTGAATATGATGGCAGGGATAGAGGCAAGGTGGTCCAGTGGAGCCCACAAGAGGAAGTTCTAGCTCATCCTTCGGTGTCTTGCTTTGTAACTCACTGTGGTTGGAATTCGTCCGTGGAAGCTCTCACCTGTGGGGTTCCAGTTCTGACGTTTCCGGCATGGGGCGATCAGGTCACCAACGCCAAGTTCTTAGTTGATGTGTTCGGCGTCGGGCTCAGATTGGGAAATGCGCAAGATCAGAACAATGTCATTACCAGAGACGAAATGAACAAGTGCTTAGAGCAAGCCTCGGTGGGACCTAGGGCTCTGGAGTTGAAGAGAAATGCTCTGAAGTGGAAGGCCGCGGCGGAGGCCGCCGTTGCCAACGGCGGCTCCTCCAGCCGGAATCTTGATGCGTTTATCGAAGATATGAAAAAGATGGCCTCTTGTGTCAGTGTCGATTCGAAGATCATCACTCGCTCGGAAGAAGTGTTTGATGATAACGTTGGAGGACCACGTGGATGGTTCTCGCGGATATCTCTTTAGTTGTTAAATAGCGTTGGATAATTGTCAATGGAAATTTTTCCTTGATAACTTTCATCAATAATAATTGATAATTATCCAGCAATTATTCACAATTTTAATAAATTAAAAACAAGGGCATTCAAAGTAATTTTGTAATTTTATAAAATATGCTTGTATCTAAATTCTTTGTGTTGTGTGGGGTTTTAGAATGAGTTTCTCCTTATTCTATTTGCAAGAAGGTGCTTAATTAATAATTAATCTGAATCTTCGGGATCAGAAATAAAAATTGCGTTGCTTGCGTTATTCCTTTGCAAGTCCCTTTATCAAAAATCTTCACTCTGATCAAAAAAATATTAGTATTAAATGTTCAATTGGGATTGTATTAGAAGGTTGGGGGGTGGAGGAGATTGTATCAGGAAAAAAATAATTTCCGGAAAAAGTCAAATCTTTTAAAATCAGAATAGGTGAATTTCTGTAAGAGCATATTTGGTAGCCATAAATTTTGATTCTCAAGAATTCCAATTCAATTAAAAAAAAAGAATTCGATTCTTTTCCTAACTCAATGGAATCGGATCAATTCAGGTGGAATTAGCTCTTTAAACCCTTTTGCCCTCAATGAAATTGTCACATTTGCACCTTTTAGAAACTTGCAGCGTTGCACCTCCACAATCTACAACCATCGCAAATCTATCTTTTTCTGTAGCTATTCTCCATCCTCTTCCTCTACAATTTTTTTTTTTGACTGAGTGTGTGTTTGATTTTTAATTTATTAAAAGTCAGTTTAATAAAAGTTCATTTGACAAAAGTTAATTGAATGAAAGTCAATTTTCGTAACAAAATTTGTGTTTGGATACATTTTTTCAAAAATCAATTTGACAAACTAAAAGTTGTTTGGATTAATAAAAAATTGTGCTTTTAAAATATACTTTTGAATATACAATGACTGAAAAGGATATTGATTTATGATAATTTATAATTTTTTATTATACACATATAATATATTAGAAATGTTTAAAAAATATCAAAAAAATTAAAATAATATGAAATTTAAGATGTTAAATAATAAGAATAAAAAATATATAATTTAATATTGGAAAAAAATATACTTGATTAATGGTTCAATATATAATATATAATTTGATCTCTAACGGACTCTCAAACCCTATTTATCTCTCTATCAGAAGTCATGCTTGAAATTATATTTGGAATTGATGATGAAAATGTATGCTCGTTATTATCATCATTAGTGTTAATCATATTTTCTTCATTAGTGTATGAAGTTATATGGATCAAAGGGTATCATGGTCATTTAGAAAATTAGGTACCAATTATTCCCTTCATAATTGCTCCCAACTCATTTAACATATGAAATGGACTTTTGAAATCCACTGAAAAATAAAATTTTAAAATTCACATTTTAAACTCATTTTAACTCACTTTTAGAAAGTCATTTTGCTTTTCAAAAAATTACCCAAATAACTTTTAACATTCAAAAAGTTCAAAAGTCCATTTTAAATATTAAATAGATGAAAACCAAACGCACCCTGAAACTTCCTATTCAATTTTAAGGAGAGATGAGAAACAAAACAAGAGCAGCTCTTTCACAAAAAAGGATAAGCATAGGGGAGAAGAGCAACTCTTTCATGAGTGGTGACAAGGTGGGGCTAGCAAGAGAAATCACGATTGAAACAATTCCAATTGAAAGGAGGATTCCGATAATATTTTTCAAAAAAAGTCAAATCTTTTAAAATCAAAATAGGTGAATTTTCGTAAGAGCATGTATGGCAGCCATGAATTTTGATTCTTAAGAATCCCAATTCAATCAAAAAAGCAAGAATATGATTCTTTCCCTAATTCAATGGAATTGGATCAATTCATGTGGACTTGGCTCTTGAGGTCCCTTTGCCTTCAATGACATTGTCACATTTGCACCTTTTAGAAGCTTGCAGCATTGCACCTCCACAATCCACAACCATCGTATATCTATCTTTTTCTATAGCTATTCTCCATCTTCTTCTTCTATAATTTTTTGTGGGACTAAAATTTCCTTTTCAATTTTAAAGAGAGATGAGAAACAAAACAAGAACAGCTCTTTCACGAAAAAAGAGAAGCATAGGGGAGAAGAGTAGCTCTTTTAAAGGCGGCGACAAGGTGGGGCTAGTGAGAGAAATCATGATTGAAATAATCCCAATCGAGAAAGAGGGCTCTAGCAATGCCGAGAACGTTGAGAATATAGGCACCCATCATCTTGGGATCATATTGCAAAATGAGTTTATGTGGTTTTTTGTTGATTTTTTTTTTATCTTTGTGGTGATTCTAATTTGTTTTCTGATAGGTTTGTATTTTGCAGTTGAAGGAAAGGGAAAAAGGCGAAGGACAAAGGAAGTATTTAATTTTGAAGAAAAGGGTATTTTGATCTTTTTATTTTAATTATAAATATTTATTAAAATTATATCAAAATTTTATCATCATACCAGACATATTTTTAAAATTCAATTATATGTTGATTTTAATTTTAATTTTAATTTTATAAAAAACTCTTTCATTATATCAAATGAGATCTAAAATATTTCTTTTAAATTAGAGAGCACATTACTTATCAATCACCAGAAAATTGTAAAACATGCATGTACTCTCTCGACCATCAGACATTCAGTCTTATATTATAAGATATTTTTTAAAGTTATTTGATATCTCAAAATATAAAATATTTTTATAAAAATAATTTTTAATTAGTAATAATTATTTTAATATTATCTCTTATTATTTCACTTCTTAAAAAAATTTCCTCACTTTTATTAATGAAGGATATTTTTAAAAGTTTATAAAAAATTAAAATTCTAAACTATCATATAAAAAATTGTAAACTACATTTAATAAATTTTATTGATATATATAATTTTCTCAAAAAAATATCTTATAAATTGGGATGATTGAGTATTATATCTTATTTTTAAGGTTAAAGGATAATTTAATGCTTAAATTATAAGTTTAGAAATGTCTATGACCTTTATTTTTTTTTAGTACAATATTCCTCTTCAATGTTGCTCCTAACACTGCAGTGTTGCTTCTAACCTCCTATTATAAACAAAATTTAACTTTGATTGACAAAAAAAAATAAAAAAATAATTTTGAAAATTACAGTAAAAGACAAAAATTATAGAAAATAACGACTTTTGTAAATTTTTTTGTTAATAGTATGCGCAAGATTGCAACAGTTGAACGTGAATAGTATATCAAAAATAAATTTAGAATCCCCAACACTTTTAAATATATAATTTAGGAGTTAATTTATCTTTTAATTTTTATTTTTATAAAATTAGCACAATTGGAAAATTAATGAGACTCATATCGAAAGAGAGTAGCCCTTCACAGTATGACAAACTAAAGTTTAAATTTTCAATAAAAAATATATTTATATTTAATACTTAATTATATTTTGAATACAAATGTTTTTAATAAAAAAAGTTATAAATAATAAAAAAAAATTAACGAGACCAATCTCTTACTCGTCTCTTTGCACCTTATTAATTGATGTACATGGCCCGGGCGGTTGGCTCGAGCGACAGAGTGAGATTAAAGTTCATCCCAGAGCAGAGGTGGTTGGAATTTAAAGGGTGGCGGTTGAATTTCTTTATTTGGAACACGACAAAATAACAAAGCATTTAATTATTCTAATTAATCTGTTAGCCTCTCCTTCCTTCTTTCCACATGGCCTGAATACGCTTGATAGGCCATTCATTTAAATTTATTTTTATAGTAAGAATTTAGGTTTTTTTTTTTTTTTACCAGATATAAGAGTTTAGGTTTAAAAAATCATAAGTTTTTAATGCAGTCAAGACTAAATCCAACCCTGTTAAACCTGTAAAAACATATTCAGACTCAAATAACCCTTTAAACCCTTATTAATTTTTTTTAAAAGGTCACATTAAAAAATTTTAAAAATGAGGAAACATGAATGTTCCCTAATTTATTTTCTATGTTAGTCTATGAATTAAAATAAGGTTTGTGATCATAAACTTTATCTTCCTTTTGTTTCATAGGTGAATTTGTTATTTAAAATATTTTTGTGATACTGTGGAACAATTATTAGTTTAGTTCTTTGATTTGTTAAGCAAGTTTAGATGTAGAATATTTGATTCTACTTACTACAAATTTAAATTTAAATTGTTGTGGGCAGGATGTGCTGATGGTTTTGTGATGAAAGACTATTATTTTTTATATAGAACCATACTGATGATTTGGAATTGTTTTTCTCTCTCTCTCTCTCATTTAACTATGTACAATTTATATATACACCGAGTGATTAGCATGTAGAAATTTAACTTATGATTGTTATATAATTGAGGACCCATATTTGTTCTATTTATTTTGATTTTTAGAATATCTTAATTAATTTATAATGTTATAATGTTGAGCTTTTTTTTTTAAATAATCTTTTTAAGAAAATGGCTTATTGGCAATTGGTCCTGGCCCTTTGAATAAGTACTGAGTTTCAACAAATGATCAAAATTAAAAAATCTGGCTTATGAACTTGAATCTTAGGGGTTAGGCCTACTTGGCGCTATATCCTTTCATTTCTTCATAGAGAATAAAAGGATGAAATAATAAAATCATGATCGAAATGTGAGAATGAGATAGAAATGAGAATTATTAAGTGATAGAGAGGCGAGCATGACTAATGAGAATTAATATATTATTAGCATTTAATTAGGAGTAAATATGTTATTCTTTTTTGTCTCTATTATAAGTTACTTTCAACTATGTTATTGAAATTTAAATAATAGTGGTTAATTCATTAAATTTGTTTTAAAAGTAAAATATATTTCAACCTTGTCCTAATTAAAGAATATGGATTTAAAAATAAAAAGAATTTTTTCAAATACTTGCATTCTGGCTCATCAAACATGAAGTTGTAGCGGAAGATAGAAACACAATATTTGAAAAACCATATGGAAATACTACCCTCGAAAGTTGGCACTATTTATAAGGCATCTTTTTGTAAAATTATATGGACTAATGAAGTTCATTGAATATAATTTATAATCTTTCTTTTTTATGAACTTTTAAAACTACTTTTCATTAATAAGAGTGAGAGGGAGAAGGAAATTTATTTAAAGAACAAATAATGATGGGTAAAAGTGAAATAATAATTATTAATGAAATCTATTTTTTGAAAACA